TGTGCAAGTCTGAGCATACATCAGACTACCAATAATTGAAGAGTAAGGAATTGATTCCATTTCCTTTCGTTCTACATCATTCTTAGGGCATTACATGAGACTAAATTTGTCCCAGCTGAACAATTGTTCATGTTAAATCTCTCTAGAATTCTTTCGATATAGCCTTTCTGAGACAATACCAATAATCCTTGTGATCTATCACGGAATATTTCTATTCCTATCACATAGGATGCCTAACCCATATCTTTTATTTCATAATTCTTAGAGAGAAAATCTTTAGTCTCACGTAATATGCCTAAATCATTAGTAGCAAGTAGAATATCATCAACATATAGGACTAGAAATATAAACTTGCTCCCACTGATCTTTTGGTATATACACCGATCAACGGTATTTTCCACAAATCCAAAAGATGTTATGGTATCATTAAACTTTATATACCATTGTCGTAAGGCTTGTTTAAGTCCATATATTGACTTCTTTAGTTTACACACTATTTAACCTTTTTTTTTAATTTCAAAACCCTCTGGTTGGTCCATATAAACTTCCTCCTCGAGGTCTCCATTAAGAAAGGTAGTTTTCACATCCATTTGGTGTAACTTTAAATCATAATGAGCCACCAACGCTATAATAATTCTTAAGGAGTCTTTCTTTGAGACCGGTGAAAGGGTTTCTTTATAATCAATGCCTCCTTTTTGAGTATAACCCTTGGCAACAAGTCTGGCTTTGTATCGTTCAATATTGCCATTTGAATCACGTTTGGTCTTAAAGACCCATCTACACCCTATTCTTTTAGAACTTTCTCGCAATTCAACAAGTCTGGCATTACTTTCAATGGCTTGTGAAAATGAAACCGGATCCTTATTAAGACCAATGTCAAAATCTGACTCTTGCAAATAAACCACGTAATCATCCGAAATAGCCGATTTTCTAACTCTTTGAGATTTTCTTAACGGCATTTCTTGTGGTTCATTTGTGTCAAATATTTGTGAGTCAGTTTCTTCATGAAGTGTTTCATCCAAATGTTGCTCAGTGTTGTCAAAGTGTTCTTCAACAACTGGAACAATATTTGGTATTTGTGTGGAAGTAGGCACATTCACGGGTAATAGAATATTGACCCTCACCTCTTTTATTTTCACACTTCGCTTTTCAACACTCCCACTAAATTCACCATTCTTAATGAATCTTGTATTACCGGTTTCAACAATTCTCGAACTATGATTTGGACAGTAAAACACATACCCTTTAGATTTCTCTGGGTAACCAATAAAGTAACCACTTAATGTTCGAGAATCTAATTTCTTTTCTTGTGAATTATAAACTCTAGCTTCCGCTGGGCAACCCCAAACATGAAGGTGCCTTAAACTAGGTTTCCTTCCTATCCACAGTTCAAAATGGGTCTTTGGAACTGCCTTACTAGGAAACATGTTTAATAAATATATAACGATTTTAAGAGCATACATCCACAATGATTTGGGTAATGAGGAATTACTCATCATGCTCCTAACCATATCCATAAGTGTTCGATTACGCCTTTCTGTAACACCATTTTGTTGAGGTATTCCTGGCATAGTATACTGTGCACATATGCCATGTTCCTCGAGGAACTTTGCAAATGGACTGGACATTGTCCCGATTCATTATATTTTTCATAATATTCACCACCTCTATCTGACCTAATAATTTTCACCTTTTTATCTATTTGCCTTTCAACCCTATTAACAAACACCTTGAGAGCATCTGTTGCTTGAGATTTTTCTTTCAGCAAATAGATGTATCTATAACGTGAAAAATCATCGATAAAAGTGATAAAATATTTCTCTCCACCAAAAGATGGAACATCAAAGGGTCCACAAATATCGGTGTGTATAATTTCAAGAAGCTGGGTGCTTCTTGTGGCGCCTTTCTTACTATGCTTGGTTTGCTTTCCCTTAATGCAATCCAAACATATAGTAAGAGCAGTAAAATTTAGATTCGGAAGAATCTCATTCTTTACTAATCTTTCTAACCTTTCTTTGTNTCTTATGTTCCTTCTTAGCATTCTGTGGAGATTTAGCAGGTTCTTTCTTCTTCTTGAACTTGTTGGGCTTCACTTTAAGTCCTTTACCAGTTCCTTGACCCATGAGGTTAATTGAATGACTCCCTTGTTTCTTAAGTTTTGACTCCTCCTGAGTAAGTATACTGGATAATTTACTAACATTCCACTTATTCTTAATAGTGTTATAGTTAATTTGAAATGGTCCATACTCAGGAGGCAACGAGTTCAGAATAAACTGAACCAAGAAGGATCATCCACTTTCATCTCCAAGGTCTGAAGTCTTGCTGCAATGTTAGTCATCTCGATGATATGGTTTTGCATACTACGCGACCCATCAAACTTCATAGTCGTGAGTTCAGCCATTAGTGTACCAGCGAGAGACTTATCTGCAGAACGAAAATATTCTTCCACAAACTTCAGGTATTCCCTGGCACTTTCTGTTTGTGGAATAGTACTCTTAATATTGTTGGCAATATTCATTCGCATAAATATAAGACTTAGCCTGTTAGAGCGTTTCCATGCTTTATGGAAAGACTTCTTATCCATACTGCTCGAATCAGTAATGGCAGCGGGCTTATCATTCAGCAAAGCCAAGTCAAGATCCATCACACCTAAGTGGAACTGGACTTGTTCACTCTATTCAGAAAAGTTCAATCCGTTGAACACAGTAACAGACGAAGCATGCGAATGAAAAGGAATAGCTGCAAAATAGATAATACATGCTCACAAATCAATATGGATTCAACAAAATAGTTAAAGCATAACGCAATTCTCTTTTGGGTGAATACTACGACACACTATCATAATTTAAATGCCATTTAGTCTTTAATAGGTAATTTAATATTTTTAACCAAATATATATGCCATCTTTGGACAAATAATATATATTTGACTAAAGAATATTAATTTTACCTCATCATATTCACTATTCATAGAATAATTGATTCACCTTTGGGTAAATCCTTAAGTTCTAGCAATAGTGAAAATTAATTTATCCACTAATTTTTAATTATAGGCATCTTATTAATTTCATGGATAAACTATAATTTTATGTATGCATATTTTCATAAACAAACTAGTTTGGCCACTTTGGTGACTAACAAACTATATAACATAAGTGCACACACAAAATAGAGATCATAAGATTTTATGCATGTGAATACTTTAAACGGTCTAGTTTGATCACTTTGGTGACTAACAAACTATATAAACATTAATCACATACATAAAAATAAATAATAAATGACTTCACCGACTTAATAATCCAAAATATTATAAGAGATGAGAACCTAAATTAAATATCTCCACAACATATACATAATAAAGTAATCAATTTTTTTTAATAAATAATAATTTTGTGGAAGATATTTCATAACCTAATTCCTTTAAATATGCTAGAATTATCATCGGCGCCGCCTTCAAGGCTAAGGCTTCTCCATTCATCCTTATTTTATTATTAACAATAATATAGGACCTTTCAGATTTTGAAGCCCAAAGTTGCATAAAACTTTTTTCATACTAACAATACCAATCCTTATAATTTGCAGACAAAAGAACGTGATTCATGATTAGTAATTGAATGTACAAGGTTATACTATTCTTATTACTTAAAGCTATTGACACATTCAAAAGCATTCTTAATTCTCAGAACATACAACGAGAATATGAGAAAAAGAATTTTCTCCCATTCCTTTTAGGATATTCACGGATAAAGAATGATTCCTTTCGTTTTCATTAGTGAAGATTATACGTTCAATCAATCCAGGCTCGGATACCACATGTGAGCATAAACTTAATTGTATACCAGGATCTTGAACATGATAATCTTACACAAAATCGTACAGAAAATATACCTGAATCGTAAGCCATCATTGTGAAGCGGAAGCGTTAATTCAAATTAGTTTCTCTCCCATTGCCCTAGCTTTCGTTACCGCCGTCTTTAGTGATGGAAGAGAGAATAAAAAAATACGGTAACTTTAATGGGTAGGGAGAGGACCAATTTATAGAGATTCTCACTTAATCCGGTACATCCATCAAGTAATCGATCAGACAGATGAGATTGGATCATTAATTAAATATTAATTATGAGCCTTAAACCTATTGGGCCACATACACGTAGGAAAAATAACTTACAGCGGAAGCGAAAGCCTGAAACGAACCGCGGCTGGAATCACTGGTCGATGGTGATTGTCACGTTGTGACGAATCAACCCCTATATCGCAGTCTAAACCCTAATCTGATTTTAGGAGACGACTAGGCGTAGGAAAATACTGTGTATTCTATATTTTTAGTTGTACACTTTATGTGTACTTATATAGGGAATACCAGAGTTTACTAATAACCCTGTTGGGCCTTAAAGAACGCCTTATGGGTGGACCCAAAATTTCCTACATAATCCGATGTTGAAGATTCACTATTAACATGAAAGAAAATTTTCTCCCTTGAGGTTCATCCTTCTACTCGTTTAAATTTTGATTGCTATATATGTGAATATATCGTTTGAAGCATGAAACTTGTGAAGGTTGTTCATTGTGATATTGATTTTTGTCACTTGCTTATCTTGCTAGTTTGGCTTGTGGATTACTGCTGTAGTTCTTAAATTGGAACGTGAGCAGAAGTTCGAGTCTTTCAGATCTTGTTTTGTTGAACAAGGATGAGTTAATAAAGTCTTGGTGATGTGTCGAGATTCTTTTGCTTTTAATGTTGCTATCCTTATTCGATTTCTAAATTTTTCATATGTGCAGTTCACTAGAATTACGTATATAAATATTGAAAGCACAAATCAGAAATCAAGTCTTTTGTCGACTAGCTTAATTGCTACAAAAGTGGTAGTTTCAGGGGCGACCCTTTTAGTCGCCGCAGAAAGTAATATTTTATTTGCGACTATAATGACGACGCTACAAATAAGCACAACTTTTTCCTTTACTGCTTAAACCAAAAAAATTTATTTCCCGCTTGGACCACATCAGTGGCAACGTTTTTTGAAGTTGTCGCTAAAATTATGTTGCAGCGACCAAATCGCCTCTTAGTTCTTTACTTTAAAATTGAAAACTAAATAAAAATTAAACACCCTTCGTAGTCTTCCTTTTGCTTTTTTACCAAATCCATTCTCCTCTTTCCCTCGAAACCCAAATTGAGCCGTGAAACTTGCCCATGTGAAAGTAGAAACGAAAGCAAGCAACTCCTTTCTCCTGAAATTCTCATTGTGGGACGCGAACCGGTGAAATAAGAAATGGAAGCAAACGATTTGGCTTAAGAAAAATCAATTTGGTGTCTGAGCATCGCAAAGCGGCCTTGTGTTGTTTCCTCTCCTTTCCTCTGAGATTCGTAAGTTGCAGTGGTTTTTCTTTTTTGGGTATTTTCACTTTCTATTTTAGTTCCCATTGCTTTTCTTGTTAAGAAAAATTGCTCTGTAAGTGTCCGTTTTGTGGTTTGAAATAGTCTTGAATTTTCCATGAAGTCTTCAGATGTTCTTTCTTTATTTTGGGATTTGTTCAGATTACTGTGATAGCCTTAGCTTGTTTTTGTTTGTTTTGATAATTTATTATAATTTTCATTAAGGTCAAATGCTTCATTTTTTGTTAAATTCAAGTGCACATGCTTAGTTGATTAGTTAGAACTGTATATAGTATGGATGAACCCTGGGTATCCTTGTTGATTTCTCTACTTAGTCACAGTCCATTTTCTTAAACTATTCTTGTGGTTTAAGGTCTTTAAATGTCTTTTTTTTTTTTTAATGTTTTGGCAAGCATAGAAGTGTTTAAATTCAAGTAATTGAGTCAAAATTGTGCCTCCATGTTCTCTATTATGGGTGGTATATTATACTCCAGAATGTTCTTCTTTCCCCTGCACTCGGATAGTTTTCTGCTTAACCTAGATAAACTTGCCATACTTTTGTATAATTTTCCTCTTCACCCCAAATCTTCTCCGTTCAGAGAAAGTAAAATGCATAGAAAGAATGAACTCTATTACATAGTTTTTAGCATCTGGAATGGAGATTAGGAGCGTTTGGGTTTCTTATTCCCTTTTTTCTTTTGGTCTCTGATTGGATTTCTTTCCATTGCTAGTGATATTTTCACTGTCAGTAGGTCAGATTTTGGTTGTTATTTACCCAGTCTAATCGGATTCATGAAATCTTTCTCTTTTCCTTTTCTCTTTGGAGAAGAAAGTGTAAAGAATAAGCTTTGTCTTTGAACCTTGAGATAATAACACTGATAATTGCGCTATATTGGTTTTGTGGTTTCATAAGGTGAATTCATATATTTATCCCTTCAACGATGTTGTGTGATTAATGGATAATTATGCTGTTATGCTGATTCTTAAGCATGGATATACATTTGTTGTTTCGATTTTCTTCTCTCTGCCTTGTTTTTCTTTCTTTTCTCTTTTCTACTCATAAGAAGGATGTGTTCTCTTCTAGTTAATGCTATCCGTAGTTTTCAAGATCTTGAGGTGAAGTTTGCAATTATTTCTTGAAGATGAATTTCATTATGTTTCTTAGTATAGGTTGGTAATGAAGAACAAATTCATGTTACTATGCGCATGTAGAAGATAACCGAACTTTGTTGCGAGATATTATTGGCTGCTTGACAAGTATGAACCATTTTAGAACATATAACACCTCCATTATTATGGAACTCAAGAGGTTTGTTTCATTTCTTAGTTTTCTATTTATGTTATTGAGCGTATTCTTATTTTTCTAATTTGACCTATTTTTGAAGATAATTGTTATGCTTGAGTGCACATATATATTTTTGTAATACTTTGTTAGAAAGTGTGGCTTTCAAACAGTAGTTGGCTAATTTCCACATATTTGAAGTGTCTTGATTAGTCGGACCCCTACATGCCACAACAATCATACTTAATAAATTTGGTCTTGTCCAGATAGTTTGACAAACTTATTAAGCCTACATATTTGAAGTCTCTTGTTGAATCTCAAAGGAAAATTGTTCCTAATGCTTGTAAAATCTAAATTGAAACTTAAAATGAAGAGTAAGGAAGAATAAAAGGTATGGATCTACTCCTAACCAATCTTCAGTTACCTAGGCGTTATGAATTTTTTTTATCAATTCATTCATATTATCGAAAACATTCTTTATTAGCTAGGTTGTTTTAGGAGAATGTGGTACTAGGAGTCCTATAGTCCTTGAAGGCTTGAACATATAGCTATGCACTGCAAAATGTAGTTGCTTTATTAACACTTACAGAAAAATGCTATAATAATTTTAATGTAAAAGATAAATTTTCTTCTGTTGTGTTTCTAATAAAATTTATTTCATTGGCAATTAATTGTTTTTATTAGCTTCATTGTTGACAATTTATTCATGAAGGAGCTTTACTGTGGTCATTATGAAAGGAAATTGGCAGAAAAGGCATTTAGTTTTTTGTGATAGATATTTATAATGACAAGCTATTCAATTTGATTTTTTCAGGTATGTGGATTTTAGATAGTAATATACCTGACTTGAACGACCTTGGGATTTTCATTTGGCATATATCTAACTTGAATTGAACTTTTTTTTCCTTCATAGAAACTTTTGGTAAAGTAATTATGCACTGTGCTTCCAAACATTATCATGGTGACTGCAGAGATATTTTCGAGGCTCGGGATTCTGAGTTCACGGCTTGGGATTGTATGAAGAGTCTTTAGACTTCAAGAGAAAATGATGCTAGCGAAGCCAGAACTTGAAGACATCTTATTTTGCTTTATTTTTTGTTGTTGTTTTCATGTGTATGCACAATTACTACATGTTATGAATTTTTGTTAAACATTTCCTAGGTTATTTTGTTTGATAAATGTCTTTAGTGTTGTCTCTTCTAATATTAATGAGTTGCCGTATTACCTTTGTGCAATATTAGTAGTAATATTATTGCAGCTATTTTTTTTTTTAAAAAAAGACAAATACAATTTGTGGCGACTATGGTCGTCACTAAACCCAAGAAATTGTGGCGATTAAGAGTTGCCATTGGAAGCATTATAGTTTTTAGTGGCGACTATAAGGCGCCACTAAACGTCTTCATCACTAGAGACCTAACAATCTTTTTGCGAACTTTTCCTTACTTCCTAGGGCAAATAAAGTCGCCACACATGTGCATTTTCTGTGGCAATCCCAAGGAGTCGTCACAAATAATATATAGTTACGGCTTTACTTGCAGCAACTAAAGTCGTCACTAAATATAAGAAAGTCGCTGGCCCATTAGCCTAATAACTAGATTACATTATTTCCCCCAAAATGGTATCCATAAATTATGGCCTTCACAATTATCTCAAACGTAGCAAAGAATATGCCACAACCCAATTTCACCTAAAGGTCGTGATGGCGCCCAACACTACAGCTAGGCAAGCCAAACTAATAAATTAAGTATATATCAATCATTCTTTAATAATTTTCTAGATAATTTATTCTTTTTCCTAGCAATATTAATGAAAGTAGAAAAGGTACTGATTAATTTAAATCCAAGGAAAATAATACAAATCTAAATTCTACCAATATGTATGCCAAGACCTAGTGTCACAAGTGTATGGGCATCTAGTAAGTTATACAAAACTCCAAATACTGTCTGAAATAAAATAGACAGAGTGCAAATACAAGAAGAGGCACTGGTAGCTGCAGAACGACTCAGAAAGTGTAACGATCCGACCGGTCGTTTTGAGCCCTAGTGCGTCGTTCAGTAGTTAGAAGCTATGAGTAGCTTCATTTCAGGTATTACGACTTGTACGCGTGGTCAGAATTGAAATTTCGGAGGTTCAGAATTTATCTGGAAAGAAAATTCTCATTTCAGAAGCTTTAAGTTGGAAGAATTGACTAAGGTTGGATTTTTGAGCAAACGATCTCGGAATCGGGATTTGAAGGTTCCAACAGGTTGGTATGATAATTTTGGACTTAGGCGTATGTCCGTATCGGATTTTGGAGGACCCGGAAGTGTTTCGGCACCTATTGTGGAAGTTAACAATTTGGAAGAATTTCATACATTTGGGTTGAGGTGTATTTCAATGTTATCGTTGTTTGTTTGAGATTCTGAGTCAGGGAATAGCTCCATATGTTGATACTGGTATTGGGAGCGCATCCGGAAGTGGATTTGGAGGTCCGTAGGTCATTTCGGCGTCAATTGGTGAAAGTTGAAAATTTGGATTATTTTTGAGAAGTTTGACCGGGAGTGAACTTTTTGATATCGGGGTCGGATTCCGATTCTGGAAGTTGGAGTAGGTCCGTAATGTCAATTATGACTTGTGTGCAAAATTTGAGGTCAATCGGACTTTATTTGAGAAGTTTCGGCATCGGATATGAGAGTTAGAAGTTCAATAATTTATTAGGCTTGAATCGATGCGCAATTTATGGTTTCGATGTTGTTTGATGCGATTTGAGAGCTCGAGCAAATTCGTGTCGTGTTTTGGGACAAGTTGGTATAATTGGACGGGGTCCCGGGGGCCTCGGGTATGTTTCGGGATGGTTTCGGATCGAATTTGGATGAAATACTATTGTTGGTTTGCTGGTTCTGGTTTTGTTCTTCGCGAACGCGAAGGGAGTCCCGCGTTCGCGAAGAAGGGAAAATGGTGGCTGCTATCTTGTGCTTCGCGAACGCGATCAGTGGGTCACAAACACGAAGAGGAGTTTTGAGGCCGCTGGGTTTTGGCTTTCGCGAATGCGAGGTATAGTTCGCGAACGAGGAGGGATTGACTGAGGAAACTACGCGAACGCGAAGTGTCAATCGCGAACGCGTAGAAGAAAGGAGGAGACGGGCCTAAGGCCATTTGGCCTACACGAACGCGATGTCTTGAACGCGAACGCGATGCCTTGCATGGACATGCCTTCGTGAATGCGACACTGGTCACGCGAACGCGAAGGGGAAATGCTGGGGCAGGAATATTTGGCCTTCGCGAACGCGAAAAAGAACGGGTCTGAGCACTGTTCTGTTAAAGACGGGGGTTGGACTCATTTCCACCCCATTTCTTCATGGGAGCCGATTTTGGGGACGATATTTGAGCACTATTTCCATCGTCGATCACAAGGTAAGTGATTTCTACTAGTTGTGAGTCAAATGCAAGGTTTATACATGGATTTAGACATGAAAATTTGTAGAAATTTGAGATTTTGAAGAAAAACCTAAAAATTGGTATTTTTAGATTTTAACCCCGAAAATTGCTATGAAATTGGATAGAAATTAAATAATTGAGTTCTTGAGATTATGGGTAACGTTTTCACCCAAAAATTTCCGAAATTCGGGCACGTGGGCCTGAGGTGAATTTTAGGAATTTTTACTGTTTTTGTTTAGGGTAATTTATTTAATAGCCTAAATTCGAATTATTGAACATGTATTAATTATTTTATATAATTTTTGAATAGTTTCGGATTTTTTTCGGTATCGAATTGAAATTTTTACACGACATCGTGATCCGAAGTGGACTTTGAGACAAAGTAAGTCTCTTGTCTAATCTTGTGAGGGAAAAATTACCCATAGGTGATTAAAATAATAATTGTCGCTAATTGTGGGGGCTATGTACGCACGAGGTGACGAGAGTCCGTACGTAGCTACTATCTATGCTAAAGTCCGAGTAGTTTAGGACTCAAAGCATGAATTATGTGTGTAAATTGTATCCTTTATTTAATTAAATTATTTAAAATATATTGTGAATTGCTAGGGAAAGATTGTAAAAGATGAAAATCTTATATGCTAAATTTTCTGTTTAAATTAATTAATTTTTAAAAGAAATTATTCATCCTCTCGAATTGATCATGTAATAAATATACTCTCCTTCCGGAGGTACGTAAGAAAATGTCCTCCTTTCTTGTGGAGCGGGCCGAACGCCTCGGCAGGATAGATGCATCTATGGATCGTGCTGCACGTCCCTCGGCAGTGTACACGACACTCTAGATCGGGCCGTACGACCTCGGCAGAAATCGTACCTAATAATAATAATTACACGATACTTTGCTATTTTAATTGCAGCTTGTGAATTTAATTAATAGATTGAGAATTGTTGCATTTGAAGAAATTTGAATTTTTTTTGTTGGTTAAATAAAATTATCGTTAATCCTGTGAATCATGTTGAATTAAATATTTCTATTTTTTTATTGATTATTATTATTGACCCTTAGTGAGTGTCAAAGTCGACCATCCCGTCTCTACCTCTTCGAGATTAGGCTTGATACTTACTGGGTACACGTTGTTTACGTACTCATGCTGCACATTTTATTGTGCAGGTACATATATGTTTAGCGGCCTTGTGGGCGCAGAGGTGTGATTAAAATGTGGGGACTTAGGTGAGCTGCATTCTGTATTATGATCCGCAGCCTACAAAGTCTCCTTCAGAGTTATTATATTTTTTCTGTCTAATTTGTATTCCGGAAAGATGTTATATTTTATTTTAACTCCCTAGTAAATGCTCATGCACTTATGACACCGGGTTTTGGAAAAAATTATGGGTTGTTTAGTAATTTAGTTGCTAAATTATTTATCACTTACTCTATGAGTTCTATCTTTATTATTTAATTGAGAAAATTTTGATTTCAAAAAATACTAAAATGGGCAATTAAGTTAATTGATTATGGTTGGCTTGCCTGACAGCGATATACGGCGCCATCAAGGCCCTAATGGATTTTGGGTCGTGACAACATGGTATCAGAGCACTAGGTTCACTTAGGTCTCACGAGATATGAGCAAGTCTACTAGAGTCTTGCGGATCGGTACAGAGACGTCTGTACTTATCTTCGAGAGGTTACAGGGCTGTTAGGATCATTTTCCTTCTTGATTCCTCATCGTGCGATTCAATTCCTTTGAGGCTTATGCCTTTGTTTCTTTCCTACTCGATCTTATGCGACGTGAATCGCTTGTTATAAATCGAGAATCGAGGAATTGTAATGGTACTATAGATGTGGTGCAGGATGTTTCTCCCTGCATAATTGACTGGGCTATTGTCGTCGCCTTGTAGAACTATGTTATGTCATTTCAGCTCAGTAGCTATATTTCGGATGGTTTTTGAGGCTATGCACAGGTTGCTACGATGTTCATGAGTTATTATCTCGCAGAATTGATGTAATGGCGGGTTGCTCGTTTATGTACCGACGCAGTGAACGACCTCAAAGAAGGTTATTCTCAGTACATGATGTAAATGTTCGACGTTTAATCCCAGCAAAGGAAAGATAATCGTACTATGAATGTTCAGGTTTGGGGTTGATGGAGTAATGAGGTTTGATATTTTTGAGCATGGTAGAGTTTTCAATAGTGATGTGGTGTCATCGCCTTGTTAAATGCATTAAGGTTCTTCAGTGTTACGGTTCTCTTTAACTTGCCTTCACGGCGGGGTGTTAGGAATTGGCATCGGGGAAACAATTGTTGAAAATAGCGGTGTGTAACACTTCAGGATTTAATTGGTATTTCTAATGTCATTTCTCAAGGAAGATGATTTTCCAGGAGGATTAAGGCTGGTAGAAATTTGTTAGTTCAGGTATCACAGAGATGGATTTCGATTTGATACAATATTTGGGTAACGAAGGGTGAGGAAGGACATGTGGGAAGTGTCTTGCAATGGTTAAAATTCTAGAAGGCCAAGTGTGAGAAACAGACATCGAGTAGTTTCTTTAAGGAGAGGGTTTGACCAAAGTGAGAGAGTGGCAAGGTAGCATATGGGTTATGTGGTAGGATAATTACACGTATTGAGGAAAGTTTGGAGTGAATTGGGGTTCATGATGGACAGTGACTAGGTCTACGGACTTATGTTGTAATATTGGCTGCTATATCAAGGAAGATTGAGCGTGACAGGAGGGAGTTG